TAGTCTTTTGCAGTGATCTGATCGCTGGATCATTTTTTTGGCGACAGTTTCTCGCCTCGCTTGTCTGGGATGAGGGCCTTGGGAGTTGGGTGAGGTGTGAGAGCATTGCGTGTGTGTCGGTGGTCTGTGCTTTGACTTTTTGTCTTCCTTGTCTCTTCTGTGTTTTGGTGTTTGTGCTGAATGTTTACGACGGCACGTGCGCCGCGCGCGCAACGCGCCGAGCGTGCGTGGTGCGAGGGTGGCCCGCCAATGCTGCGTTGCGTGTTAATTACGTTTTGATTACTAGTTACTATTATTTGACGTACTTGTCAGGGCTGCTCATTGTCCCGCGGCCCATCGCTTTGTTGTCGTGATATCTTGCTCAGATGTTCATCGTCATGATTCACACAGTTAACTCATTATAGTGTAGTGTTGTTGGCTACTGTTGTTGCGTGCACCTTTGGGTCTCTCTCTCGTGTCCCTTCTGTCATTACCTCTGTCTCTTCCTGCTTGTCTTTACCGCATCGTCTCTCGCGCTCCTTTCTCTCTCTTTTGTCTCTCTCTCTCTCTGCTCTATTTGAAAAGTGTCCTGAGATAACTTCTGTTATGAATTGGCGCTATACAAATGGAATCGAATTGAATTGAATTGACAGGTTGGCCAATATTAAAATGAAACCAATTGATAAAATTGATTTAATTTAGTTTTTTTTTTTTTTATTTGCCATTGGTGCGTACAATGTATGACAAAATTTTGTTAAACAAATAATTCAGGGGGACAGTCACAACTACAAAAATAATTATTTGCCAAAGTTAATGTTAGTTCTAACAATGTAAATTAAATTAGATTTGAAAATTAAAATGATGAGTTAGCTGTTTTTGGGTGGCTGTGGCTCAAGAGGTAGAGCAGATGGTTGGAGGTTCAAACCCCAGCTCCTCCTGTTGCACGTCAAATGTCCTGAGCAAGATATTGAACCCCAAATTGCTGGGGTGAATGGGTGAATGTGACGTGGGGTAAAGCGCTTTGAGTGGTCCAAAAACTAGAATGGCACTTTGATTAAAGGTCCAGTGTGTAACATTTTGGAAGATCTATTTTCAGAACTGGAATATAACATGGCTGTAGATGGGCCCTTCGCATTTTTTGCGGCAACCGTAGATTCTCTTTAGTGCTTGGAAGGGGAGGGTTAAGAAAGGGGGGTGCAATCTGCAACTACACTACTAGACATCACTAAATCCCATACACTGGACCTTTTTATTTAAAATATTGGCAACCCTGAACTTCCACAATAAATAATTTATATGTAAATACAACAAAAACAAAGACTAGTTAGCTAAGCTAAACTCAAAGACTGTATTACTAAAATCTAAATTTAAACTACAAATGTAATAAAATACTCTCCTCACTTCTTTTGTTAACTTTAATTTTATGTTTTAATTTTATTTTAATGTATGTTTAATGTATGTCTTGTATGCTACTGGATGCTTGAATTTCCCTCGGGATAAATAAAGTATCTATCTATCTATCTACTGCCATCCCATATCTCAGCAAGCGATTTTGAAGTAGGTCTTTGGTACGAGGAAATTCATGTTTTATGTTCGCAGCAGATAATCTGTTGCCCCACACTGTAACGTTCATTAACACTACACAGGGGAGCAGTGTGTGTTGTTGTGTAGTATGTACCGGTGTTTCTAGGCGGACATAGGGCACAGTCCATGCCCCAGGCCTCTCCGTGCAGACAGCAGCACTCCGTGTATGTGACCTTCCTGTTGGGACCAAGCGGCCGTGTGCACGTCATGGTTTCTGTCACCGTCTGCCAGCAGATACCCTGATAGTCTATCTGCTCAGCCTCATGTTGCTCTGCAAACACAAACACAGCTAACTAACACAGTATTGTGTGTTGCAAACTCGGTTACCATTCAGAGGTACATGGAAGAATCTTTAAAATATAAAATAAAAGAAATAGATTAATTTAAAAACATATACTACTATTACATTTGCAAATGGAAATTCTTAAATGATGACATCGCTGAAATGAAATTAAAAATTAGTTTTGTGTTTCCTGTAACATTTAGTTTCAATATCAGCCTGTTATGTAGTCCTGTTCATGCACATAGTGATCATACATCCATGATTAGTTTGGAGCTATATTTGATAGTAAAATAGTAACATTAACACAACTGGTTCTGTATTAAACACAAATCAATAATAAATATTCTTATCAGGAGTAAACCTGCCTCCTGTGTGAACATAGCTAAATAGGGTTGTCCTACACTCCTGTATTTTAACAGTGGCCATAATAGTGGTACTTGGAGAGCCTTACATTTTCTGAGGTTGTACAGGGTGCAAAAAGTTTGACATATACTGGATTAAGATTTTGCAGTACTTAAATTTAAGATTGTGATCCTAACTAATTTATTTTGGACAAATCTCACAAAAAAAGAAAATAACAATACAATACAACATAGCAGAAATATTATCTACAGTAGGTGTATCCAGATGCTAGTGAAACATGAGAGCTTTACACTATCCCCTCTATACTAATGCCATTGTGCCTTTCAGATAACACACTTCTAAATTTCACTACTTTACTAAAGCTTCCCCTTAAAATCAAATACAATAATATTTTTCACAAGTCCTGACCCTTTTTTCAGGTCATTATAACTTAATCCTTTTTTAAACACATTACAAGTTACTTTCAGGTTGTCATTTATTTTGATTTAGTTTTTGATAGTAGTTTCATTTTATTAACAAAAAAGTGTATGAAGCTTGATTTAAGAAATCCAGAGAAATCAGTATTATTACAGTCTTTAACAATGTTGTATTTATTAATTTCAATTTCAACATTATTTCATCAATATTAAATATTTAAATAATAATTACTGGATAATCTTTTAGTTCTGGCAAAGATTTACTATATTTAAAAACATGATTGTTTTTACAGACTTGATGCAATCTATTACAAAGTTGAACATGTTTGAGGGACTGTTTTAGTTTAAACTCAGCTTATCAAGAAAGAATGGTTTATTGAGAGTTTAATTGTTGGAACTTGTTAGGTAGCGATGTTAGGTAGTTAAATATTAAGACTTGACAAACCTGAAACACAATATGGATATTGGAAGAATTCGCAATGGAGGGAGATGGGACTTTTTTTAGGATGCAGTCTCTGAATGGTTGTCTTTAGTTTAAACTGTGCATGGGATATTAAAAAAGCCTTTCTTACCAGCCACCTCAGGAACAAAGACACAGCGGTTACTGTTGGGGTCCAACACCATAGGATGAGTACATAAACACATGAATGAACCATCTGTGTTCTGACACTGTCCACCAACACACACAGACTCATCCAGACACTCATTGATGTCTACAGGGAAGAAAAGCAAACAGAGACATTTAATGGAAAAATAACTTAGTCAGAGGACTCTCTTCATGTCATCAGCACTTCCTCACGCTACATTACCATGTACCAATGCATTCACACACACACACACACACACAAATGAACTATTTAGCTATAAATAACTCTTAAGCTGAAAACCCTTTTTTACCAACCAATGCATTGCTCACGAATGATAGCTCCTACAAAACAGTTTTACATTGCTGAAAAGCATATTAGCACATCATATAATATAAGAGTTAAAGATCCCCTCCAGACATGTGTTATGTATGTAGCGGAGTCTCACACTAAGAATACAGAGCTGTAAATAGGCATAATAAAGTCCCCTTTTACTTTTAACTTTTTAAATTACAGTTCGCGTACACTCACAAACAGTTTTTATGTCTTCATTGATATCGATAATTTTAATGATTTGAGACATCACAAATAGTTTGGGAGTCAATTCTGGTGACTGTGACGTAGAAACTTGAAGCCACCAGTGGACATATACTGAGAATTGACTTTACAGTGAAGTATTTAACAAATTAACAACATTTGCATATTCATAGATTCTGGAATTTTTAATTAGGTTGAAGGAAGTCTTTTAATTTAGATGATTTATCTGAAGAAATATTTATAACCTTTTCAGGTCTTCCACAAACCATTGTGTAGAGTCTTCTTCACACATACAGCCATGCACTGCGAGAAATGTTCTAGAAAATTCAAGGAGCTGCCACAGAGACGTTTTGAGGTTGCAGCCTGATTCCTGTTTTTGACAGCTTTACAGCAGAATTACACTGTAATTCAGATAAGTGTTAAATGTGCATTCCTCTTTGGTCAGACATCAGCCCACCCTGTAGTTGGTCTCCTATAGCAGCAACTGTGCTCCATACTCTGCCCTGTCTAATTACTGTGTTGTTGAGTATCATACACAAAGCAAGTTAAGCTAACAGTTTATGTGTTATGTGTAAATGGTCTGACATCTTTAACACAGGAGCAGGGTTCCCTTCATTAGTGTACATAGACAGTACTCCCTGCTATCAGTTCAGGCAATGTCAGTTAAGGGAACTTCTCTTTCTAAAATTCCTCCATTCGGAACACCCTGTACCATTACGAACGCACACATCAGCCAAGCCTGGTAACAAACACCCTGTTGCTGCTACTGTGTGTGTGTATTAAATAATAATATTATTATATATTTAAAAACTGATACCATTACAAAATGTATTTTATTGAAATATATGAAACTTTTGAATAAATGTGATTTGATTAATTTAATTTGATTAATTAGTTTAATTTCTAGAGATAAAACATTTAAATATTTAAAATTATTATGTAGGCTATTGTATATATATTTATATTTAGTCGGCCTTGATAATTATGACTGGTAACGACTATCGTTTGTTTTTGGGATTCCAGCGAGGTGTAATGATGGGTAATCTGGCTGAGTCAACTGAATAAAGTGATGAACCATTATTCAGTTCCTCCCTACGCAACTCCCAGTTACTTTGTTTGCTCTCTATGGTTTGGAATCTTACTTAAAATTGTTGAATAGCCTGTGCAGTCCACCACTAATTTGTTTTTCATACACACACTCACACACAGCCTTTGTTTTTGCTTCGTATCACTCTGACCTCTGCACTCCAGTTTGGTAGGGTCGTAGTCTTGTCCAGTCTTGCAGTAACACTCATAGCTGCCCATAGTGTCTAAACAGAAGCCTCCTTTACATACCTCCTGGCCAAACAGTGTGCATTCATCTGCATCTGAGACAGACAGAGGGTAGGCAGCAAATGTTACAGAGCTAATGGCTGACTTTCTGCTACAATGTAGAGACAGGAGTAACTGTACTGTGGCTCCCAGGGCTTAGGCACATGTGGAATAGATTTAACATGCACATATTTAGGTATGTTGCATTCATTCACACAAGTTCTGTTATTTTAGCTGTTTACCAAAACATATTCAAAATACAGTTATATAATCAATATGG